CCGCCCCTTGCTGCCTCTGATGGAGCCCGGGCGTGCACGGGGCAGGCGTGTGGATTAACCGCCACGCCCAGCTGAGCAGCAAATCGCTCGCTCGACTGGCCGCTAACACCCTCCTGCCGACAACGGGTACGAGCTGCCTCGCCCACCTTGGCCGCGACTGGGCCTGCAACGCCACTGCCGCGGCTAGGGGGCGCTGTGGCACGGCACCAGCCAGCCCGGAACGCTCATTTTTGTGAATTTTGTCCCTACTGCGTCTCCGGCCCCGTCTCTCACCGGCCACCGTAGTTTTTCTGACCGTCGTTTCGCTCGGAGAGTAGCCCACTGCTGCAAATACTACTGCGCATGCTCAGTCGGCCCGCGCACGCGACCTGGCGGCGGATGTGATATCATGACGCAGAGAAGGGACGTCTCCGGCCGCGTGGGGCGCGCGTCACTCTCTGTTGCCGGCGGAGATGGAGGCGCTGGACCGGGTGGTGTAAGTGGCGGCTCCGGTGCGCGCGGTAGCTCGGGGCGGGGGAGTCGCTGACCGCGCGCTGCGGCCGCATCTCCCTGCTGCCCCCAGCGGGCCTTGCCCGGGGCCGGAACAGCCCCCTGCCCCCGCCCTTCTGCCGGTCCCAGCACGTGTCTCCCCCGGGCGGCGGAGCGGAGCCTGGAGCGCTGGGTCGGGCAGGGCGCTGTGGCTGGGGACTTCCTTGCCTTGCCTCAGTTTCTCCTCACGTGATCTCCCTCCTCCGCTACAACCCGCAGCCCTCACAGTTTCAGGGACCAGCGTGGACAGCCGGAACAGCCCCCTGCCCCCGCCCTTCTGCCGGTCCCAGCACGTGTCTCCCCCGGGCGGCGGAGCGGAGCCTGGAGCGCTGGGTCGGGCAGGGCGCTGTGGCTGGGGACTTCCTTGCCTTGCCTCAGTTTCTCCTCACGTGATCTCCCTCCTCCGCTACAACCCGCAGCCCTCACAGTTTCAGGGACCAGCGTGGACAGGAAGGGGCGCGGGCGCATTTACACATTGACCGATAACCCCGGGCTCGTCCCTTAGTCCCTTGGCTCTGTACCTGCGGGCTAGGTCCCCCACTGCTGTTTCTGAGAGGCAGCAGTGAGGGGAAAGGCAGGGGCTGGTACAAATGGGAAGCCCACTCCTTGCATGTATGGGCTCCTGTGGAGCCCCCCCCTTTTGCTTCCTGGGGTGAGGGCAGGCCTGGAGTCAGTGCTTGCCAGAAGCACTAGTGGTGATAGTTACAGCCATGAGCAGAGACAAGATGGGCATCCACGTCTGCAAGAACTAATAGAGTCCTGCAGTGATATAAAAAGATGGGTCTGCATTCAGTCCATATCCACCAGGCTCAACTCATTATACATCCTTGATCCGGAATTTTACTTGCATCTGCACAGAAAGCCACTTGGAGGGAAGGGAGCACAGATGAGTAAGGGGGGGGGTATAGGTCAGGGTGAGGGACAGAGATGTAATAGTGCGGTTGATTAGTCAATAAGCAAAATCTTAGAGGTTACTGATTTAGACTACACACATTTCCTCCTTCCTCCCTTGCAGGTAAATTTTTTAGCAGGCTGGCCAGCAGGCCGTCTCAATCCTGAATCACGCCTGACCTGGGACCTACTCCCACTGTGGCTCTGCACTTAAAGTGCATTAGGAGCCAGGTGGGCGGGCAGGCAGCCCAGCTCAGGCTTGTGCCAGTTCTGGAAGTTCAATTACCCACCCCCCCTTCCCACTGGGGCTTCTGCCAGCCCCTGCTGCTACCTCTATTAGAGGAAGCAGCGTAGGGTGACAGGCAGCCAGTCCGCAAAGAGAGATGGTTTTTAAACTGGCTCCTGTTGTAGACCAACTCCTGTCTGACACTCTGTGCTGCTGCCTCTGATACAGAGGCAGCAGCACTTAGTAGCAAGGGGCTCCTCAGGAGTGGGGTTGGAGCATACTGGCTGCCAGCCCTGCTGCTGAGGACTATAGAATAGTTGAGTAACTGACAAGAATTCATGAGGTTAATCGACTATTCAATTAATCCATGGTTAACAACCCTAGTGAGTGACAGAGGAAAGGGAGCAGATTTGCATTGTGTGCTGCTGGGGCTTTGGGAGTGATGGCACCCAGCAGCAGCAGCTTCCATCAGATCACAGCAGGGCAGAGGGGTACTGCCTTGGGGCCCTGCCTTCTCCAATTCCCATGGCAGAGGGAGGACCCTGCTGCCCAGGAAGGAACTGACTGGCGTCCAAGGTGCTTCCTCATGACGAATCAGGCCCAGCCTCCCAGAGCTGGGCCCTTCCTACTCAGAGCAGGGCAGTTTGCTACTTTGCTAGGATTCTCTCCTTCCCCACACATGCTCCCAGCTGCACTAGCTGGCAGCAAAGAATAGTGTGTGGGGCAGGCAGCATGTGTCCCCAAAGCGAAGCAAGTCAGTGCTCACCAGGTGTGGGGGAGTGCAGGGCAAAGCTGGCACTTGGTCTCTCTTGCAGGGAGATTTAGGAGCTTATTGTGTTCCTTCCCCATCCGCAGTGCAGGGGCCTGCCTGCCGCCCCCCCTCCATCTGGTGGCCTGGCAGAGGTGGGGGAGACGACTCCTGAGCGGTATCCGCTTCACTTCTGTGGCCTATTTAAAAGGAACAGTGGAGTGGATATACTTCAGTGGTGATAGAGACCAATGATGATACATCATAAAGTAGCAGAGAAATGCCAAGCATAACTTGAACCTCTTAGTTTGCCTTTAGGGTGCAATTCATGAGCTCTTAAAGGGATCTCCTTTAGTCTTCATAAGCCAGTGTGTTTAGGGACGTGATGCAGGGTTTTGGTGTGAAGGGGAACCACCAGGACTTCAGCTAGGATGTGGAAACAAAGCCACATCTTACAGTTCCCTCAGAAGAACTCAGGAAATTAAACATTTAAAGCTGAGATTTATTTTCAGTTTCAGTAGGATTTTTTTTGGGGGGGAGGGAAGGATCCCATAGAGCATTTTCTTTAACTTCTTTGGGATTGTTTTGTATAGCGCTTGTTCATACTTCTGTTTTATTGACAGGACATCAACAATTAGTGATTGTTTCAAGCAAAGTCAATATGTTTTGTTTAAGTTAACTTTGTAATTAATTTCTCCTTGTAGAAAGCCTAAAACTAAGAGGGCCAAAAGGTTTCTTGAAAAGAGAGAACCCAAGCTCACTGAAAATACAAAAAATGCCATCCTCATAAAAGGTGGAAATGCAAACTTAACAGTGACTGAAGCACTTAAAGATATTGTAAGTATATTGGTTGGAAATACATGAACTGAAATAACTTTTAACATAGACTGTATATGAGGAGTAGGGATATGAAAGTGTAAACGTGTACAAGGTTAACCAATGAACCTGAGCTCGTCAGTTAACCTTCACAGTTACATGCGGTTCCTCTTTTCTGTTCCTCTCCCTCGTGCATTGCTGCTGCCTCTTTATCACTGTATCAGAGACAGCAGCATGGGGTGACAGGCAGGAGCCGGTGTGCAAGGGGATCCAGCTCCTGAGCAGCAGTACGGTGGTGGGGGGAGAAAGAGGACAGGCAGGAGCCAGTATGCCCAGAGCAAACACACCTCAGTGTGTAGATGTGTAACCTCCCTGATCTGTCATCATTGGGACCTGACCAATCCCAAATGAGGGAATTTGCTGGACCAGGGATGCTCTCCGACCATTAGCCACTAAGCCCCTTGCCTGTAGCCAGTTCCCTGGGTGGCACAGACTTGGGCTTCAGCCCGTGTATCTGGGGTCAGCTGCAGGGCTCTGACCCCAGCCCTGTGCTCCAGGAGGACACTGCAGGGCTCCAGCCTGGCCCTACACCCCAAGAGGCTTCCAGGTAACTCCAGCCCCAAGCTGCTGCAGAACTCCAGCCCCGTGTTGTCGTGGGGCTCCAACTCCAGTCCCATGCTTCAGGAGGCTGCCGGGGACTCTGGCCCTGACTCCCCACTTTGTAGTGCAGGAGAAACCACCACAATCTCTAGTAAATTATTTTAATAGTTAATTACCTTCCTCACAATCAAAAATGTATGTCTCATTTCTTATCTAGTTTCAACTTCCAGACATGGTTATCTCTATTGAAATGAAAAGATGATTATTACATATTTGCTCCCCATGCAAAACTTTTTTTAGACTAATCAAGTCACTCCTTATCCTTCTCTTTATTAAACTAAAAGGCAGACTTAAAGGCTTTCAGTCACTTTAAGGCATGTTTTTGAATCCTTTAATCATTCTTGTGGCTCTTCTCTGAACCCTGTTCTTGAATTGAGGGCACACGAATTGGACACAGTATTCAAGCAGTAATCACACCAGTGCCAAATATAGAGGTAAAACGCCCCTCTTGTCTTCAAGAGTCTCCTGTTTATTCTGCTTAGTACTCACTAACACGTTTGTAATAATCTTGCTGTGTCTTTAGGTCCAGGCTTTTAGAAGAGCTAATTAAAAAAAAAGTTGTTAAAGTATCTGTAAAAGGTCCTAAATAATTAACAAGGGTCAAATACAAATACACTTCAAAATAAAATCTTTTCAAATAAATTGATTTACTTGTCAAAACTTGATTTGGTGGTCAGATATATCTCCCAACAGTTAATGCCATCAGACACCTTTAAAATATTGAAAAAAATACTGTTGTATGAGTATATTGTCCCTTTGCTGTTGTAGGGAAGTGCTAAACTTTGACCTTAGGACTAATTGGGTTTAAAACATTTTGTTGTGTAAACTTTCCCTAACATGTATTACTAATATGGGAGTTTGATAATGCTCTGCCTTTCTGTAATGCCTTTCATTTCAAGATCTCAATGTTTAAAGAAAACAGTTTACTTACAGGTGTTAAGTTTAGGTTTAATCCCCCTTGAACAGATGGAAAACTGCATGGAGAGGTGTTATGCTTTGTCCGCTGTTGTGTAGGTACAATTTGTAACTGCAGTAATACCTAGGAATCCCTATGTGTTCATTGCAATGTGTGTACAGGCTCAGCAGAACTTGAGTTAACAAATGCAGGAACTACTAACCCAAGATTTGAGCATCCACACTCATTTGTAACCACAGGTCAGGAATTGTAGAACTATTGGCTCCCAGCTGTGGCTCTGCCATCTACCATGTGTTATGTGGGTCTAAGTCTAACACCCAATATCGTGGATTTAACACCTTCCCATAATCTGGCTGCTCTAACCCTTTTTTTTTTTTTTTTTTGTGGTGCAGTGTGGGAAAACTTGACTGTTCAGAGGTGTAGGATAAATACAAAATTAAAGAATTAAAGTTAGCTTAAATTTGGTTAAGGAAATGTGTTGTAAAGAAAGGCCTTGACTAACAAGTAAAAGGAAGGTCTCAAAAATAAGTGGATTAGTGATGTTAACTAGGGTATTTGTGTAAATATGTAACCACTGGAAATTTTAGAAGTTACACATTTACATGTGGTGGGGGGCAGGCAGGAGCTCAGGCTTATTGGTTAACTAGCCAATTAGCCTGTCATAAGACAGGATTTTAAGGTCTCTCCTCCACGTCGATCTTCTCTCCTGAGCCTCTGGTCTCTCGCTCTGTCTCTCTCTTCCTCCTATTGCCTCCCCCCCTCTGTCTCTCAGCTCTCCTCCCACTCCTGCCGCTCACTCGGGGGACCGCGGAGCCCAAATGGCCGTTTGGGTGCTGCACTCCCCGTGCTGCATGGGGAGCGCGGAGCCCAAACGGTCGCTTGCGCCACTTGCTCCCACACGGCGGCCTGGCTGAGCAGTGCAGAAGTCAGCCGAGTGCCACGGCGGAAGGAGAAGGGGGGCAGGGCGGTGACATACGTGCCTGGGAGAGGGGCCTGGACGAGGGTGCATCCCCGACGGAGACAGAGGAGAGCGAAGAGAGTGAGAGGGAGGAGGAGGAGGAGAAGAGAAAGGGAGGAAGCAAGCGTCTGTTTGGGCTCCCCCGT